ATTCTTGTTTGCATTCTTTTTGGCACTGCCATCCCTACATCATTTTACATTTAAAAATGTTTTTTATTACTTTTGTTAACATATGATGGTACTAGCGCAAAATTGATTATCCCATTACTGCTAATCCTAGTAAAATATTTAAGGTACACTGTATTAAAATATTTCTATAAAATAATAGTGAATAGTTGAGGTATGTGAATGAATCCAATTAAAGTTACAATAATTATACAGAACGCTTATTTATTCAGTAAACATAGGTATCCTAATGGTACCACACGCTCCTAGCAGCTTATGACCCATTTTATCCAAAAGACAATTCCAATTATGTGAGGATTACGCGAAAGTTTTTAGGGCAGTTAATTGTTCTCTGTAGTTTAAAAAAAATTCACGGCAATATTTTTAAACTTGAGTTAAAACAAATCATAGGCCAAAGTAGAATTATCACACAGTATTTCTTAAAGTTTTATGTAATTTCAAATATACATAAATAATGTGAAAATACTTTCAGAAAGCAAAATTGAAAAAACATAATCCTTCTTGACGGCAAATTGAAGTGTTAAAGTTATAATGCTAAGTTAAAACTCAAGTGTCAAAGCTATAATAATAAAGTTAAAACTCAAGTATCAAAGTTATAATGCTAAAGTTAAAACTCAAGTGTTAAAGTTATAATGATAAAGTTAAAACTCAAAGTGTTAAAGTCAAAGCAATTAGTCAAATTAAGAAAGGCACTTTTCTATGTCTTTTATACATAAACACTCCATCGGAACAAAATTCCCATTTCCCCTCTGTCCTTAGTAAAGGCCCCCAGTGGTACAGCGGTATGTCTGCCGACTTATATCGCTAGAAACCGGGTTTCGATACCCGCAGTGGTCAGAGCACAGATAGCCCTTTGTGTAGCTTTGTGCTTAGTAACAAACAACAACCTTAGTAAAGTTTGAATATTCTTTCTCATTCACTGATGTTGCGATACAAACTGTTATAGTTTGATCCTCAATGATTTTCTTAATGATTTCGATTTTTTTAGTAGAAGATAATGCGTAGCTTAACGAAGGCTTAAAAAAACCAAATCAAAATTTGTCTACTTACTTTTTTTATTAACAGGGAAACCAAGCAAAGGAAGCAGAGGAAGAATCTCCTAGACAAAGAGTAGATCGAATCTTTGAACAACTCGATAAGGTAGGTTACCATGGTAACGTCATGTTATTTAGCGAGATTTGAAGGATAATAGAAATAAATCTACTTCCTTCCATAAGAAGCATATAATGCCGGATAACATGATTCATACCTTATCGATATGTGAAACTTTGCTAATCTCAAAATACGCATGTTAAGCTTAATTTAATTATCAAGCATCGTGTTTCTGTATCTTGTAAATGAAAGTGATCAAAATTATTTTTACCTTGGAATACAGAACTATTTACTTTACATAAGATGATCAAGTGAACACCTGTTTAGGTGGTTTGATTGAATACAATTAATTCAAAACATTTAGTTTTTTTAATAATTAGAGCTTGTATTAAACTTTAAAGTGATTATACATTTCTCTATGTGTTTGTAATTAATCAAATTATGAGCACGTAACGGTTTCAATAGCTCTTGTACAGAAGAAAAACATTTGTAAAACAAAAGAAAAAAAAACGAAATCAGTCCAACATTTTCTTGTTCATATCTAAGTGTACAACCTCTAGAGATTTGACAATCATGAAGCACATCTTTATGTAGCCTCCAACAGAGGGCATTCTAAGCAATCAAGTATAATAAGAAGCCCAAAATCTTTACAGATGTTTATTTTCAACCATCGTTTATGCAACTGATACAGTTAAAAGTTTTAACTTCTTCAAGAAACGTTACAAAGTGTAATTTACTGATAATGCATTTGCTCTTTTAACCTAATATTACTAATAAGGTAGCATTGGAAGAATGATAGATCAAATATATATATATACTGCATTAAATTTTTAAATAAGCCGTAAGAGAAAAGTGTTAGAGAACATGCTACGTAATATATTTTTAATAAGCCGTAAGAGAAAAGTGTTAGAGAACATGCTACGTAATATATTTTTAATAAGCCGTAAGATAAAAGTGTTAGAGGACATGCTACGTAATATATTTTTAGTAAGCCGTAAGATAAAAGTGTTAGAGGACATGCTACGTAATATATTTTTAGTAAGCCGTAAGATAAAAGTGTTAGAGAACATGCTACGTAATATATTTTTAATAAGCCGTAAGAGAAAAGTGTTAGAGAACATGCTACGTAATATATTTTTAATAAGCCGTAAGATAAAAGTGTTAGAGGACATACTACGTAATATATTTTTAATAAGCCGTAAGATAAAAGTGTTAGAGGACATGCTACGTAATATATTTTTAGTAAGCCGTAAGATAAAAGTGTTAGAGAACATTTTACGTAATATATTTTTAATAAGCCGTAAGATAAAAGTGTTAGAGGACATGCTACGTAATATATTTTTAGTAAGCCGTAAGATAAAAGTGTTAGAGAACATTTTACGTAATATATTTTTAATAAGCCGTAAGATATAAGTGTTAGAGGATATGCTACGTAATATATTTTTTTTCTTGTTGTTTGATTTGTTTTTATTTCATATAACTTTAAAGGGTGTTTTATTAAATGCAAGATTACTTGAATTAAAAACCAACATTGTTATTTTCCGTTTAGTTTTCGGAGAGTACGTTTAAAAGAAAGTTAAAACCTAATCTGTTATGAATTTATAACAAGATCAGTGCTAGTTAAACAGCTAGTTGCTCCCCAAACGCTTTCTGCATTTCTGTAACATATATCCGCTAAAAGAGGGACAGTTAAATTCCACTTTTTGATCAGAAAAGGATAACCCAAGAGTTGTCTATAAGTCCTGTTGACTGGCAGCCTTCTTTCTAATGTATATCAATTAAAAATTAGAAATTGCTATGCGCAGTTATCCCTTTGTATAGCTTTACACAAAAATTATGAAACAAACAAACGTATTTTTTTATGAAATTCCTTTGTTAATATTCCAAACAAACACACACACACCTGTTACAACGTATTTTTTGTGAAATTCGCTTGTTATTATTACAAACAAACACACACATCTGTTACAACGTATTTTTTTGTGAAATTCCTTTGTTATTATTCCAAACAAAAACACACACACCTGTTACAACGTAATTTTTTGTGAAATTCGTCTTTTATTAGAGGCTCTGTATTTAACAGATTTACTGATCCACAAGCAATGTGGTACATAAATAGGTTATTACAAGAAGCTTAACATTTAATTTGCTATTACAAGAGCAATAAAATTACTTTTCCAAACTAGTTCTTATCTATTTTGTTGTAGTAATTGTTTTGGAACTTTTGCTGCTTCAGTCGCACTGTTATTCTCACTGAATTCGCATTATCTTTATAAATTGGCGTCATATGCAGGCATATATTGCGTTTTCTATCTTCTTGTTTTAACGTAGAAGCTTTAAATGTTTTTCACTTGCTCTAAGTCTGTGCAGTTTTCACATAACATGTAGTCAAGAAAGTCGTTAAGTTTATGCCATTGTAGCTGCTTTTGTTCCTTTGTCATTCTGTGGAAATAACATTTGTTCTATCCATGGATGATAAAGCTGTAATATTGTACGTCGTGCAAGAATGTCGACCAGATGGTTTCTCGCGGTTACAGCCTCCTATATGTTTGGAAGAAAATGAACAGTCACGTTGGTAGTGCTAATCGCTATGGGTAAACCCGATGTTAAGTAAGAAATGTTAGATTTAAACATTCATATACCATATCTCGATTTAACTGGTAAGCGGAAATGAATCTACAGAGGAAAACACCAGTCTAATCAACTCGAGAACCTAGTTTTGTATCTTCGATTAATTATTATATTTTTCCATTGAGTGTTACACACTATGTGCAGTAGTTTTTTTCTTTGATCAAACTCCTCCTGTTGTATAGCGAACTTACTTAATACTTTCTGAGTAAATCGGTTTCACCTGAAAATACGACATTAGCAGTTACTTGTTGTGCATAATCCAATGAATTTACAGCTGTTGCAGCTATATAGTCTTGAACCGGAATTCTTACTACCTCTACGTACATAGTAGTAAGTTTGAACTTACACAGATATAGAAGACGTTTAATAATTTTTAACGAGGTCGCGTCAAATTCTGGAAAAGAACTTGGTTTTTGAACCTGTAATTATTTTTTGCTGCGACCTAATACACCTAATAACTTCTCTTTTATTAACTAGCTGCGAATACATTTATATTTATATGCTGTATATTTATTATCTTACAGATCGTACGTTCGCGAAGTTGCGATATAAAAATCACATGTAAACATGAACGCGATTCCAAAAACTGGTAACACATATTAGGACAGGGCAACTACTAATAAATTAACTATAAGCTAGCTTGTGAAATACAATATTATTGGCGTTTTCATACTGATTATCGTAGTTTCTCATATAGCCAGTAGGTAGCGCTTTGCAACAATTTATTATCCAGTATCCTGATACTTTGTTAGCCTGTGAACTGGAACATTGGATTATTTTCTTAACTTAAGTTTTATCAAACATGATCTAATCATTTGTCATTGAAAATTAATACTTACTTTTGATAATATTAAAATTAAGTCATGTTTTCTGCAGTTTTGATAAGAAACTGATTGCTGTGTAATAATAGGTATGTATAACTAGGTATGTATTCAAACTAAAATAATTCTTCAACTTTCTTTTCCAGAATCACGATAATAAACTGACGATTGATGAGTTTAAGGAGGGATCACAACATGATCCCAAGATTGTCCAGGCGTTATCTCTATATGCCCCATGAGGTGGTGATGAGTCTTTTGAAATGAGTTGAAATTCATAACATGTTTGCAGCCTTCCGCGAAGAGAAGAAAAGAAGAACGTTTGTTGTTGTTCTTTTTGTCAATGTTGTTATTTTTAGGTTGCATCACGTAACTTGAAGTAATTTACACTCGTATAGAATATCCCCATTAAGTAAGCCACGTTTTTAAAGTATTAAAAATATTCTTGAAATATTTCACGTTAAATTCCGACATGAGCGCCACCTTTTGGTAAATTGATATTATTGCTTAATGCTAGCTGCATGTGTATCATAATAGTTAGGAATATTTTTCAGCGTCTTAGATGTCGCTATATACGTGTTTTATATAGATAGGTTGTGTTTCAAACTCGTGATATCTGAATGCTCAATAGATTACTCTATTTAAGTAAATCAGAATTGGGCGACTACTTTGTATCAAAAATAATATCTGCAAGCCTTCTGATAGGTTTGTTATATTTATTTTTCCATTGGATCTTCCCCGGTGAGTCAAAGATATATTTATTGACTTAAAGTACTAAAATCCGGGGTTAAATACTCCACAGTGGGCAGAACAAGATATTCCATTGCATAGCTTTGTGCTAAAACAAAGAAATCAATTGGGAATTAACTCAGTAAACTTTGTGTCGTTTCAAGAAAGTTGTTTTAAATGTTGAAATCTAAGCATTTTTGTTAAGATGTTTTTTAAAGAAAAAACTTTATACGACTAAAAAGAGTACACGACGTAAAAATAATTGCACAATAAATTACTTATCAAAACCAGATACTAGCCCTAAAAAGACTACATGTTCTACACACACCATCTTCAGGAGTAAAATTTTAAATTCGATCATTACTTTCATAATTACACAATAAGTTGCATATCTTTAGCGTCATCTGGACTTAAACACAAAGTTTTATAAGACACATGTCCAGTGTTTCGATTCCTTTAAACCTGGACCAGCCTCTTTGTTCAGCACAATATTTGTATTTGTTTCTATTTATATCGTTTCTCTGACATTTAATTTCTACTTCAACACCACCAGTTTAATATTATTCAAGTCTATAACGTGAGTTATGTTTGCCACATGTTCTGCTAAGGCAGAAAAAACGAAGTACTGAACATGCATCTTATAAAATGTTGTTTTTAAGTCTCGGTGGTGCTAAAGATATTCAAATTGTTGTGAAATTATACAAGTCAAGATCGAACTTCAGGTGTGCGTTCCGAATTTTCATAAATTATTTATTGTGCAATTAATTTAACGTTGTGCACTCTTTTTAATTGTATATACATGCACACGTGTCGTTTTAATTTATTTAAGAAAAAAGCTTGTTTTAATTTCTTTATCAACTGAATGTTTAACCATATAGACTCTAATATTTTTTAAATTTTATTTTACATGTTTGTTACGAACACTTTTAGAAAATATTAGAAGCTGAAAATCGCTAGGGAAAATGACTAGTTGTAAATGTTTTTCTCGTTGCACTTATGTGCTCTTATGTGGTGCTTAAGATAAACAGGTGTATTTTTTTTTCTCTGGAGTTGAATTTTTTTTCCAGACGTTTAGATTTTGTCCTATTGTTATTAATATGAAATCTCCGTCATTTGCAAAACGTAATGATTTGAAAAAGTTTAAAAATACCTAAATTAGTGTAATTGTGTTTTTTTTAATTTTGCAAATCTCTTTAGATGGTACTTTGCATAATTCCATCACTGTTAATTATTACTCTACAAACATTAACCCTCTATTGCACATTGTAATGTAATTTAATGCTTTGAGTCTGTAGTTGAATGGCCCTACTTCCAGGTAGAAGTCTAAATAATCCATCGAATTTATTTTTGTTGGCTCCTAAGTTGGACAATGTTACCTCTAGGTAACAGAACCCTTTAATTCCTTACGAAAACATGTTTCCGAAGAAGATGTTTTTTTAATTAATTAAAGACCCATTTCAGTAAGAAATTAAAATAAAACATTTTTTTCCACCGTATTTTTATAATGTTTACAATAGAAGGTTAATAATTTATGCCGTGGCAAATGAGTTTATTTGATTGGCATCGCTCTGACGAAAATTTAAAATATAAAGTATAGAAATATGAAATGGTTATACTAATTTAACTAATATTTATACTCTTGATGAGAATACGAATTACGTGTCTATTTCAACATTTATCTAGAACTTAATCTAACTCAACACGATTGTTAAGTATAATTCTAATACCTAGAACCGGTGTTCATAACAAGAATGTCGCCTGGATTTTTTTTTTTTTTTTTTTTTTGTATATTAAATCAATTTTCCGCAGAGGGCAAAAATCGTATGGCGCTAATATTTACGAAACACATTTTGTAGACACAAGTAATATTGAATATATAAATATATTCCTAGTTGAATACCCCTATAAAACTGTAAACAACAAGTCTAACATTCTAGGTTGGACCTTTCTTCTGTATATTAATGATTAGGTTTATTAATGTATAATAACCTGGAGTAATGAAAGTCGACGCTATCTTGTTTTCATAATAAAATTAGAAAAAAAAATAATGTTATAAGATAACTTTTATTTTAACTGACGTTTCGCCTTTGTGTCTTCTTTGGAGCTAGTACATAAACTTGTTTGAGATACAACATTATATTGTGTTTTCCAAATCTGCATAATAAGAACAAAATTACGTTATTTTTTTTATAAGGCCCCCCAGT